TCCAAGAACACGGCGTTAAAATTAAGAATTTGCTTTATAGATTAAAAGAACATGGTTTAACATTGCAGCCCGATAAATGTGAATTCTTACGAAAATAAGTAACCTATTTAGGACACATAATTACATCCAATGGAGTTCGTCCGGACCCTTCTAAATTAACAGCTGTAAGAAACTTCCCTGTTCCGAAAAACGCTAAAATCATCAAACAATTTCTCGGACTAGCAGGTTATTACAGACGCTTTATTCTAGACTTTTCCAAAATAGTTAAACCTATGACAGATTTACTAAAGAAAGACGTTAAATTTATTTGGACAGCAAAACAACAAGAAAGTTTTGAAAATTTAAAAGAAAAATTATGCAACGAACCAATTCTTTAGTTTCCAAATTTTAACGAACCATTCGTAGTAACTACCGATGCATCCGACTATGCAGTTGGAGCCATATTAAGTCAAGGAAAAATTGGACAAGACTTGCCCATTGCTTACGCATCTCAAACATTAAATTCTGCTGAAAGAAATTATTCTACCACCGAAAAGGAATGCCTAGCAATAATCTATGCAGTGGCATTTTTCGACCTTATCTCTGCGGACGAAAATTCGTTTTGGTAACTGACCATCGACCTCTCGTATGGCTACATTCAGTAAAAGACCCTAGTTCACGATTAATGCGTTGGAAATTAAAATTAGCGGAGTTCGAATACTCCGTCATATACAAGTTACATATCAAGAACACGTAGACAATTAGCACCCGTAACCTACCGAGAGTCAAGTTCCAGCGTTATCGAGACAGAAGCCGAGAATAACGATAACGAATCTCGAAATGAAAAAAGCATGCTTCCATCCCTATCCATCGAAAAAACTCTCGAGGATCCTTCTGAACCTAAAGAAGATGACCCCGATCAATTTCCCAAACAGATCCTAATATTGATAACTCCATTGACGAAACAGTTGCTCTCTCTCGAGAACAACGTATTAAAGAAAATCACGAGCGATTTTCCCAACTCATCCAAGACAGTCGAACGATCGAAATTAGTTCAAATAGAGAGACTTCCGACGAAGACTATATCGATATCGACCTCCCTTCAACAAGCCCTCTAGATTCAGAACCTCTTGTTCCTGAGAATGATAAATCCGAAATATTCGTTCCATCGGAAGAAAATCAAAGCAAACCCCATGGCTTAGAAACCATACACGACTTAACATTGGAATAAGCGAAAGAAAGACTAAAAGAAATATCACAACATTTGGACGATTCTTGCTCAAGGTTCTCAATTTCTGGACAAAGACAAACCCAACATACCACAACTATCATTTCTGGAAACTTCCCTACAGCTACAAAGAACGCAGGAAAGCCAAGAGTTTCCTTCGCACCAACACCCTTGCGAAATCAACCACCAACAACGCAATCCACCCCAGGACTGGATATTCGGCCTGTAACCAAGGATGATAATGAATTCCCGATAAAATTATTACAACCACGAAAATTAGAAATTAGTAGACTGCCCCTTTTCGAAGAAATAGGTGTCCCTAGTATTTCATCAGAAGAACCACCTCTGTGCAAAATTGAGATAACTAATCTTACCCTTCTCGCTGACTCAGGAAATTACGCGCATTTCGCGCCCAGCGATTGTCAACTCATAGATCTAATTAACAAGACGTTAAAAGAGACTGAATTTGTTAACGAAGAACGACTTCTCGGAGAAGGATTACAACCAGGGTTGGTAATAACAAGTAGACGACATTCATCTCGGATTTTCACTATAATACACACTTTTAATTATTATGATCATCCGACAATGAAAGATTTAGAAACTGCTCTAATAGCTTGTGACGTGGCAGGATTTTGCCGTCACAATTTGGGGTACAACGGTAGCGGTAAGTACCGAATATTGTATTAATTTAATTGCAGCATCAGTTGGCGACACCGGGGGCTATCGTGGACAATCACTAGCTGTAAGTATGTGTTGTAAATAAGGGCGCTCTAGGATAAAAATGAATAGGGTTAAGTGTTTATCGGAAGAGTATGTCGCGGCCTTGCTACCGTCGGTACGCGTCGAGGAGGAAGAATCGGGATCTAAATTATCGTGCCGCGATACCGGCCGGGACATCTAACGAGTGCGCTGTCAATTGACGGCGCTTGGCAGCTTGATGGCGTTTCACAGAAGGTCTGGAGGGGGATTTCCGAAATCCGGAGGTCCTGGTGAGCCGAGGAGCTCATTGTCCAGGATACTCCCGGTGTCGCCGGAGTTGTAAAATTTGCTGCCGCTGCCCCATTTTTGCTTTCGACCGATCGCGGAAGGATAGAGAGAGTTGTGGGGATTGTCAAATATATTTCACCACTTTATTTATAGTTATTGCTTTATTAACATAGCAAAAGGAGCGGATTTCCACGTGCACTCTAGAATTGGTCACAAAGTCTTCTCATCGATTTTCAACCGTTTTGTAAACATTTTCCGACGTAGTCGTCTTTTGGTTCGAGGTAAGTAAAGTAATGTGTACGCGGGGTTACGCAGTTTACCCCGTCCTGATCGCATCGCGCTCGACGCGCGCTACGCCCCTGGTGGTCGATGGCCGGACTTCGTCCCGGGCCCGCCACAGAGTCACTTGGTGAGCAAACCCCTAGTGGGGCTTTCAAAAGAAAAGTTTCTTTTCCGCTCAAAAGAAAATTAGAAATATCCGGTATTGGGGTAATTTGCCTCCTCGACACGTGCCCGGCGGGAGTTCGCGTAAGATGTCCGACCGTTAGCGTGACGGGACCGGCCCTATCTTGAGATTCTCTCAGATTGCCATGCCGAGAATGCGCTCCCGATTTTGCTCGTTCCGCGTGTAATTACCGAATTCTTTTTAGTGTTGCGTTAGGGCCCTCCGGTTGATCGTTACCGATCCACTCGGCCTGTCATGTCTGTTCGTTTAGGAAGGCCTTGGTGGTGTTAGTTAGGCATTGTGCCCCGTGTTTCCCGGAAAGTTGGGAGTTAATTTATGGAAGAGCCGGTGGCTCCATTTTCGTTGCGAACTTAGAGGGTTTATCCCTTGCGCGCGCCGGTAGGGCCCCGAAGTATCTCTGTGAGGGCAGTCTGGAGACCCCATTAAACTATGGGTGCGATTCCCAATGAAATAAGCCTACGTGATTTTTCTCGGTCGTCCTTTCCGATTTCTAAGTCCATTACGCCGCTCCGCTGTGGTGGGCGACCCCCCCATCTCTACCGTGCCGCAAAGGGTCGCGCGACCTTTGCAGGGTTGACTAGCTAGCCTTAGCTAAGGGTCGGGTTCCTTCCTCGCTGTTGTCCGATAGCGGGCCGAACACCCTAGCCGGATTTGGTCAACGGTTTCGCGGTATGTCGTGACATACCTCGCGCCCTTAAGAAATTCAAGCGAGCCATATCGTAAGTTCGGGATTTTTTTGACCGCTCGAATCGGGTATACCGCGGGAGGAACTGAGCGGGGCACCAATTTGTAGGGTGTGGGTGCGAGACCCCAAATTCCCGTCGCAAGCTCTAAAAACTGCTATGAAGAGAACTGAAACTAATTCCGTAAGAATTCCCCTAAGAGGAAAGGGATTCGATCACATTCCAATAGAAACCTTTAGTCGACGCATAAAATCTATCTTTCGATCTAGCGGAATGAAAATCACTCTTTGCTTGGGCATGATGGAAACGCCACCCCCAGAAGTCCGTGAAACGATTCTAAAGGAGTATCATGAAAGTCTTTTTAGCGGATATAAGGGCATCAACAAAACCTATCATTGCATTCGCGCCAATTTTCACTGGCCGAAGATGTATCGAGAAATTCAGGAGTACGTAAAAACTTGCCCCAGTTGTCAGAAGCAAAAACTCGTTCGAATTAAAACTAGAGATCCAATGATTATCACTGATACACCGACAGAACCCTTCGATAAAATATTCTTGGACACCGTGGGACCCTTACCCCCGACTCCCTCAGGAAATAGACATATTCTCACCATTCAGGACAACCTTACCAAATATTGTTTAGCTATCGCGATACCAAATCTTAGGGCCACTACTATCGCCGACGCTTTTGCACGTCATTTTATAGCACAATTTGGCACCCCTAAAGCCATATTAACAGGAAATCTATTTAAAGAATTAGCCAAAATTTTCAAAATCAAACGTATTACGACCTCTGGTTACCACCCTCAAACCAATGGAGCCCTAGAAAGAAGTCATCATTTCCCCACGGAATACTTAAAGCATTACATGAACGATTACGCGGATTGGGATTTAATGCTCCCCTTCGGCATGTTTTCATATAACACCTCCATCCACGAAGCTACTAACTTCACACCCCATGAACTAGTTTTCGGTAAAAATGCCCGAATGCCAACTTCTTACCCCTCGAAACAAGATTTAAAGACATACAATGACTATCTAACAGAGTTAACCACCCATCTAGAAAATATACGAAAAATATCAAGAGCCAACTTACACTCTGCAAAGGAAATGTCAAGAGCTACATATGATAAGAATTCTAAACCCGTTAAATTTAAAACCGGAGATTTAGTCTACATTCTGAAGGAACCTCGGACCCGTAAATTCGACCCTTACTACGTTGGTCCGTGCGAAATCATGGAACTTCTGGAACTAAATAACGCCCTAATAAAAACCGATCAGGGAAGGTCATCCTAAAACATCTCGACAAACGCAAAGCAGCCTTTATACGCAAACAGCCCCTAGATAACGATCTAAATAAGACATAAAACCAACCATGGGCAATGACAACCTTCACCCCACACCTGAAAGAAGAAGAACTAATTAAAAATCACGCGCACCCGGAGGCCCTCCTTCTTAAGCAGAAGATAGGAGCCCGCGACCATCTGCACTCCTGGATCAGCATTTTGCATGAAGATACGAAGTAGAAGACAGAGGAAGGGCTTATCAATTTTCTACGAATTGACACCCCACCTAATGAACCTCCTACCAAACTGGCCGTAAAGCAAACGTCGCCATGGAAGTCCATTCCTATCAAAACGTCTGGACAAGCAACATGCCGGTGAAGCACTATTTTTTCGGCCACCGCGAAGTACCGGCCACGAGCCCTGATCGACGGCGTGATCCCGGAGGATCACCCGGAGACTTTGGCCCTTCTATTAAACACAACGTGCCTGCAGTCCCCAGGGCCGATACAGCTACACCGGGCCACAAACAGACGCTGATGTGCCCGGTGCTTCTTCCGTCTGCCAGGCCACCCCAACGTCTTCAAAATCGTCAAAGGTTCTTCCTTCAAGGAACCTTCCTTTTTGTCATGTTATGCTTTCAAGGCGCGTCCCGGTTGAATAATAGGGAGTTGTTAGGTAAATTTTAGATACCACGAAAGGCTGCATCACGTATAAAGAAAACAACCCAGCCACGGAAAACAATTAAAAAAAATAAAANCTTCCACCCCGGGCCCCTCCGAAAGTCACCTTCCGGCGGCAGCGCAGGTTCTTCCTTCAGGCACCGGACTTCGCTCTTTATCCTGTATAAGTGTATGTGATCTGTCACGCAAGCGAGCACTATTGCCTGTTTTGCGTTATCATTATTTGATTTCCGTTATCGGGCTGCCCAGGCCGCAGCCACCGCCGCCCATCCCAATGCCAGGACAACGGGGCCCACTGGGCCAGCAGGCGCCGCAGGATGCGCACCCCCACGGAGCGGCGGCGCATCCACCGCCCGGTCAGGCGTACCTCCTGGTGCCGAGGCGCCGGCCCAGGCAGCCACCACGACCACCACCGCCGTCGCCCGAGCAACCGCAGGAGGCCATGGATGTCGACCCATAAATAAAAAAAAAAGTGAAAAAAAAAATGATGAACACAGTGGACAGTTACTGTCACAACTTTCTGTTTGTTTGAATTCAACACATATTTTCTTTTTTTTTCTCCCCTGATGGAAATAGGAGAATAAAGTATCCAATATTCTTGAATAAAAAAAAAATTTTACAGTATCACACAAAAAAAAATCATTGTGTTACCCCTTCACCGCGAAATCCTTTTTCCCTAAACAAACAAAAAAAAGAGGAAAAATATAAAAAAAACAAAAAAAANTCTCGCCGATCTTCGGGAAATTTCCGGCTCTTACAGGATAGGTCTGGCACACCAACATCCCCAAAATCCGGTGTATAGGACAGTAACTACATCTCGGTAATATCTTTAAAGATTCTTCCTCCAAAGAACCTTCCCTTATTATTCGTTTTCAGTCGCGGCCCAGCAGGATGACCAGGGACCAATAAATAAATTTTAGATACGGGACCACAGGAAATAAAATTTTATGATTTTCAGTCGCAACCGGCAGAACAGGCAGCTCCCTCAAGGAGTCCCCCATAAAACAACCAATACCTATTGGTATAATTCTTCTCTCTCTCTCTCTCTCTCACCCTCCTTCTCCACGTGGCTCAATGAACGAGCACGTGCGTCGCCTCGGCTCTCCTCGCTATCACCAGCACGAGCCGCGGCATTCAGAAAAAACAATAATAATATCTCGCCTACACCCAAGCCCTTCAAACAGGCAATCGTGACACTCTATATCTCTCCCACTCTCACTTTCGCTCTCCTTCTCTCTTCCTCCTTATCTCACACATACCCCCTTTTTTCCTTCTCACAGGCACACGACCACCAGGCGAATGCGCCTGTTAACAAAAGCCGCAGTGTCAGCACCCCCTCCACGCAGGAATGCCTGTGTTGCATCACCTGTACGACTACGCAACACCACCCGAAAACCCCTTGATTGACGGTGTTTTTCCCCGTCAATACCCCAACGCCTACGGACTCCTATTCCAATTACGGTGTCTCACACCCCGAGGAGGCAGTCTGTGGTGGCACCCCCAAAGAAACGANAGTAATAATAAAATAATTCTTTATGCTCTTACTACCGAACTATTCTTATAAATAGGGACTAGGAACGATAATAACAACAGCAACAAAATCACACATATATTTTAAAACCTATCTAAAAAATAACATCTATTCATTTCTTCTTCTCCATCCCAGTCCTCAGGCAGGACCTCTCCCTGGACAGGCCATCCCTCAAATAAATAGTGTAGCTCCCAACAATCAGCACCCTCGAAATCCAGGAGATCCTCTCGGAGCCGATATCGATCCCACCGCCTCCTCAGGATGGTGTCCCAGAAAATCACGCCCACTGGAGGCTGAACAAAAATCATACCACACATAAATTAATACTTCATCAGGACACTCGCGTCTCTAGAAACTTACCTCCTGAATCAACGAGCGAATTGCGCACTCCGTCAAGGAATACGGCCATTCACTCGACCGTCACCAGGCTTCTGAATTCTCCATCCAGGGAGCCTCCAAAACATCCGCCCCCGGATGAGTCCTCCGCCAAACCCGGAACTCACCACTGGATAAAAATTTACAACCCTGAAATATTAATCAACACATTAGTCCAAAAATCCAGTAAAAACCCTCACTCGCAAATAAAATTTAGGACCACAAATAATACTTACTAACTGCTCCAAGACGAAGAAAAATCCTGCTGCCTTTGCCATGATCACTCGCATTAACCCTTTCGCTTCGGATGTCCAGTTCGCCGAAGTACTGTCTCTGTACGGGCGCGCGCGCCGAGAATGCGCACAATATGCGTTGTTGCTCTATATACGTTTTCCTAGGTCTTAAGTAACAATTTTGCTAAATAAAACAAACTTTGTTACTATATAATGAGTATTATTTGCATTTTTGGTATGAAAATATTTACAACTTAAAAGTTACAAGTAACATTTAAATTTTAATTAATTATTGTCCGCAAACAAGTTAATATATTAATATAGAGTGATTAGTAGTATAAGTTCGTATGGTAAATTCTGAAGCATGGATCTACGCATAAACCAACATCACACTCTTTACACTCGTATCGTGAGTCGGATCTTTTGTCATTCTTACTGCAGACGACGCATCTGCGTTTTAGATTTTTACTTTTGGCTTTATAAAAAGATGGAAAATGCCGATCTGTTAACCTCATGGGGTTGTCGACCGGTCTGCCTTCATGCCGAATTACATTATTACGCCGATATTTTGCAACCATTTGTTTTATTTTCTTCTCTTNGGTTAATTTCGATGACTCGTGAGGTTTGCGCCCTTGCACGTGCCAAAAGTTTCTTTTTTCGGATCTCCCTCCTGGGCTCGACTTCCGGAATCTCCCAGAAAATCACCCCCACTGGAGGCTGAACAAAAAATCATAACACACATAAATTAATACTTCATCAAGACACTCACGTCTCTAGAAACTTACCTCCTGAATCAACGAGCGAATTGCGCACTCCGTCAAGGAATACGGCCATTCACTCGACCGCCACCAGGCTTCCGAATTCTCCATCCAGGGAGCCTCCAAAACATCCGCCCCCGGATGAGTCCTCCGCCAAACCCGGAACTCACCACTGGATAAAAATTTACAACCCTGAAATATTAATCAACACATTAGTCCAAAAATCCAGTAAAAACCCTCACTCGCAAATAAAATTTAGGACCACAAATAATACTTACTAACTGCTCCAAAACGAAGAAAAATCCTGCTGCCTTTATCATGATCACTCGCATTAATGATTGAAACACTCCAAACCTCTCGCTTAAATAGCACCTCACAAGGGACCACCACCCGCATCCTAAGACGCCTCATCATCGAAATTGAGCAAGACCAACCGCGCTTGCTCACCATAACAGATTTAATTTCGTTTTGCTTCCAGAACCCGAGACGTTGCAATACTGAGTCCAAACAACAAGATGGAACTCATATGGATCCTAGCACTTCTGATTCTCCATTCAGGAGCCCTTTTCCAAGACACCGGCTATAAAATAATCTCTATCAATAAATCTCCCGGAATCTATTTCGAAAAAATCAAGGAAATTCGAAAATACCACGTTCGATGGCAACTAATCACCGCGTTGGAAATACAATCCCTTCTGGATAAAAAGCTCCAAATTACTTCTCATATTCAAAAGGCTGGAGACCAGTGCGGACGTATAAACGCCACCTTCTGTAGCGCAGGAGAAGAAATTTTGCGCATCCATTACCTATTAGCCGACACACAAAAATACGCGGATTTACTCCAAAATTTACTTAACGAAGTTCCATTACCGAAAAGAGTCACTAAACGTGGCGCACCTTTAGCATTCATTGAAACGCTTAGCAAAGTATTATTCGGCACTCTCACTACTGAGGACGCTGAATATTACAACCAAAAATTTGAAAATTTTGAAGCCAACCAAAAACATCTCGCCGAAATAGTTGGAAATCAGACCCATATTATTGTTACGTCCCACCGTAATATAATAAGAGGGTAGGCTTTACAATTTAGATTTTTAATTAAGTTTAGAGGAAGCGAGCCCTGCACCGAAACGGAAGTAAGGTGCAGAGCTGGCATTCCGGAGATGTGCACGGGCCCACCCGGGGGCCGAAGTCCACGTGCCGTCGGAAGATCCCCGGGCGCGAAACCCCGCGTCAGCACCGGGTTCGTTGCCCTGGAGGCGCTACCGAGCTCCAGAGATTTGAAGACGCAGCAGAAAATGGGTCCCACCTAGGAGGGCCTCTTGCCCCTTCTCCTAGGCCCGCGAGACCGCGGAAAACCTGAAGCTCGGCCGGGAGCGCACTCCGTTCGAAAATTTTAAGTGAACCACATCAGGCAGTGACCAACGATACCACAAAAAAAAACCGCCAAGGAAGTGGAATATAGAAGGAATAACCGACCCAGACCAAAGGATAAGTGGAGGCTAGTGACGTATAAGAGGAAAAGTTACACCCCACCGAAGGTTAGAATCCTAATTATTTCTATTTCGATTGTCGCGGCCGACCTCTCCCCCATTTTGTTACTAATTTCCCGGTCAAGGAACGTAATCGGTTTCACGTCGTTTTGCTCTAATTCACAAATCTCATCCGGGAGTCGAAGCAGTGACAGGAGTTTACTCGATTCACGCGCGGTTTTTATTCCTAATTAAAGCAAGGGATTTACTCGATGAATTGCCCCTATTTCATTGTCAAACTGTGCCACCTGTCAGCGACCTTGTATTGTTCAATTACGTTCGTCACGAATCCTACTTGTTGAGTGAGTGCTCCCTTTCTATGTCACTGTATCGAAGTTTGTTTTTGATGTTTAGTTCATGAATAAAATTTCTGTGTATCAAATAAGTTCCCTGTTATGGATCGATTCAAATAATCTCTGCACCTATGCATTTTTAACAATTGTTGTGTATGCCGCCTGATTTAAATTTGAGAATTATTGTAGATTCGGGATTCAATTAA